GTGTGTGTGTGTGTGTGTGTGTGTGTGTGTGTGTGTGTGTGTGTGTGAAAAACCACTGTTCCAACAACATTCTCCCTGCCAGGCATCTCTCTGCCGCTTTCATCGTTGCCTCTTGCTGGGTGTACTAAGCTTCCTCACCTACATCTTAGTGAGTGGCCACTGTCTCAAGGGGGGAAGTCACCAAGAGCAAGATGAACTCCAAGACCTGGGGGAAGCCACCTTCTAAATTAGAAAACCAAACAAACCCACGCCAGCCTCGGGCCCACCTACACATCATGATGAAGTTTCCATTTATGCGTGCATATGCAGGCAGATACCCATGGCGGGCCGCCAACTCAGTTCAAACACTCCAGTCACCCCCTCTTCTTGATTCCTACATGGCGACTGCTATCCTGCCCCTGCCCAGGGATGGTTTTGCAGGCAGGGGAGGAGGGGTTTGTTGTTCTTGTTGTTGTTGTTGCTATTTTGAGTTTCCATGGAAAGTGAGAAAGGAATTTTTTTTTCTCTCTCTCACTGAGAAGGCATAGTCTGTATGCTATGTGGCTCATGGAGAGGCTGAGTGGCTGGGCAGGCAGGCGGCTGGTAGAGTCATCACTGGGCTTCCTCTCCTGAGGCTGAAGGCTGTTATAGGCTCTATGTCCCAGCTGACAGCCTGGCATGTCAGTGGCAGAACTGACCCAACCACAGTCCAGCAGGCTCCAGCCACTGTGCTCCTCCGCAAACACTACTCAAGAATATCACTATATCAATCAGCTGACCGTTATTTACGGGGGCCTTGTGAGTGCAAAGAACTATGGGAAAATCATCAGAGATGCAAAAATAGCAGCCTGCCTCTGCCAACTCTTCCAGTTTCTACTGTGCAACCGTAGCCTTTCAGTAGACAGCGAGGAGGATCTGCTCTTATCTGAAAAGAGGTGAGCACCCACAGATGCTGGCAGCGGAAGCCAAGGAGGGAATGCAGAGCAGAGGTATAAGGTGGAAAATTCCAGTTGGGGTTGGGCCGGAGGCTTGTAGGCTCCTTCTTGCTTGTAGGACTGCTTGTAAGAGACACAGTGCTACCCTTGGAAAGTTACATGGCTGGATTTGTATGAGGGAAAGCTCCTCGCCATCATCTGTTCCCCAAGGCCAAATTCCCTGTGTGGTTGGCTTCTTCAGAACTATGCAGGCCTGCCTTTAGTGAGGGGGAGTGGGTGGCTGAGTTCTAGCAGCTGGCTACTCCCATATGCAATAACTCAGGGTTTCCAGACACTAATTGGATAATTGGAGGGGCAGCTAAAAGCTTGGCCTCACCTGTATTTTGAAAAACTTTTTGCCCCCTTTTTTTTTTTTTTTTTTTTTTGAGCTGGCTGGCATGGAACATGAGAAGAAATCATGCTAAGGCACAACAGTATTTGCCTCTGAAGGGTAGAATTACAGGTGATGTTTTCCTTCCGTCTTCTAAGGGCTCTACATTAATTACGCATTAGTCTTCTATGTTTAAAAAACATAGCATTTGACAAAGCATGGGATGCTAGATTTTATGTCCAATTGGGAAAATGGAGAATCTTCTTGGTATGCGAGGAAGGCGCCAGCTTTGGGGTCCTAGCTATTATGTGCAGAGAGGAGTACTGTCCTTGGTTAAACCTGTCCCTAGAAATGCCTGGGGCTGCCTGGGATGAGCCTGCCCAGAGAACCACACAGGCTTCCCTGCTTTCCCATCTCTCTGGTGCCTGAATGGAAACACAGAGTTTCCAAACACAAAGCAAAATCTATTGACAGAGGCCCTGGGCCCAAACCCAGCAGCCACCACACGGAGTATGGAGGAGGTGACTAGTCTCGGGGACACCCTACCACGAGCACATTTTTGGAATCTCTGAACACAAACTCTAATTTATAGCTGTCTGGATCATCCTCCCAGACAGAATCCATTTGCCCAGCTCTGGCACAGATGTGTTTCAGGCATAATGGAAAATGAAAAGAGAGGTTACAATTTAGAACCACTGGGCAGAGGGGGAAAAAATCTGCGCTTGCTCATCCACACCCCCAACCTCCAACCACACATGCATGGCTTTCCTCCCTGGGTCAAGGAAACTGTGGCTAGCTGAATGTCACCACTGTGTGACAGGGAATCCTCCCAGAATGCTGTGGGCTCTGCGAGGGACATGGGAGAAGGAGCTGGCCAGGGCGTCCATGATGAGAAGCAGACAGGTCTCTGCTGTGGAAGGAGGCACAGCAGCCGCTGTGCAGCTCTTCGGCCCTTCTGAATGTTGTCAGGCTCAGGAGACGCCATGTCTGGTGCACTTAGGCTTGGTGACCTGCACACTAGAAACTGCTTTGGGGGTTTGGGGGAAGACCACACTAACTCCATCCCAGCGAGAGTGAAGGAAGCGAGCTCCCTGTCGGTCACGAGGGTCTTTTATTGTAAGCATTCCCTATAACCAGAAGATGCTCTCCTCTAACACTCAAGAAAAGCTTTCAGGCCTCTTCAGTCTTAAACTCAGTAGGCCCCACAACCCCCTATGACACAATGCTTTTAATTTTAGCCCGTTGCATTTGCATTTAGAATACTGAAGCAAGCAAGAAATGACAGAATGTCCCTTTTCCCTTCTTGCCTCCACTTTTATGTCTCTTCACTTCTTCCTCCTCTTCCTCCTTTAGTAACAATCAACCGTGGTCCAGGCCAGGCCAGGCACTATGCTCCATATCAGAGACGTGAAAGATGACCACATAAAGCAAGAAACGCAGTAAGACACTGGAACTGTGCTGAAGGGGAAGAGCATGCATTACTGAGAGAGGGCACAGACCGCATCACTGTCAGGCAGCAGTCACCACCACCCTGCTAGTGGCTTGAAGAAGGGGTTGGGTTTCATGAAGCAGCAAAGAATTAGTGGGGTGAGAAAGCTTGAGGCAGAAGGAAGAGCATAGGGAAGAGGGCTGTCTGTTACCTCTGTGCTTCAGTGAGAAACAGTAGAGTCATCACAGGAGTGTGGGGCAGCCACGGCTCATGGCTTCTGCTCAGCATCGTGGGGAGCCCACTGTAGGGCCCCAAGGGATGGGAGACAGAATCTCAGTTCTTGTTTTGATGGGAGTGAGCAGGTGTCTGAATGTTGCTTAGCTGCCAGTGAGCAGCCACAGAGAGGTGCTCTCGGGACCACAGAGAGGATGCCCTGGGGCGGTTAGGAGACTGAGAGGGCCAGTGAGGGTCACTGTAGCAGCAAGGAACACTGCCGAGGGCCACTGTGCGTCTAAGGCCAGGGCTACTTCCAGGGTCCCTGGCAGAATGATAAGAAACACTGTTGCCTCTCAGAAATGGACTTTTTTTTTTTTTTTTTTTTTTTTTTTTGGATATTTGGTCACCCATTTTGTGCGGGAGGGGGAACTCACGGTGAGGAAGAGTTAGCACTTCAGAAGGAAAAGCCACCGGGTGGAAATCTGAGGGACAGCTTAGCGCAGACCCCTGCGTGCTCACAGAGAGCATGGCAGTCATTCTGCTCCTGCAGCTCAGCTGTACACACGGCACTCCAAAAATTCCACCAGAAAGCTGGCTGTGGGAGTGCGCACCTATAATCCCAGGATCTAGGAGGCAGAAGCAGGAGGATTGCTGTGTTTAACACTAGCCTGGGTTATGTAACTAGTACTAGCCAGTCTGGGCTACCTAGCAAATACTAGGTTAGCCTGGGCTACATGACAAAACTCTGTCCCCAAAACAGTAACAAAAAAAAGCAAAAGAGCCAAAAGTTGTGGCATACACCTTTCATGTCAGCACATATGAGGCAGAGGAAGGAGGAACTTTGTGAGTTAGAGGCCAGCCTGGTCTACATAGTGAGTTTTGGACCAGCCAGAGCTACATACTGAGATCCTGTCTTAAACAGGACCAAGAAAATCAAAAGAAAGGAAGAAAGAAAATATTACACGATAGGCTAGTTTTAGGGAACACAAGAGAAACTGGTGCACAAACATGCATAAATTAGAAGGAAAATGGTGACTAGAACACAGTACAAGGAGAGACGGGGCCACACAAACCCATCGTTAAGCAGGACAATCACAGATATTTTCATGGCTAAGTTACTTCAATAGCTACACTAGAGAGTTTGCAGAACACACACACACACACAAAAAAAAACCTGCCAACACAGCTTTAGAGAAGATGTTTATGGTCTAAAACTCAGTGGCAAAAAGGGTGGAAGGGCAGATTCACAGTATTTTGAAGCAAAGCAGATGGGTAACAAGTGCCTATCAGGTAAGAGCCATCTGCAGAAGACAAGGCCTTCAGCTCCACGCAGGACTGCGTTTCAACTGTATTTTACTGCACTTCCTCCCCCTTTTCAGGGACTGCTCCTGAAACATCCCACCTTAGCATTCTCTCTCGTTATAAATCACAAGCAAGGAAGGGTCATCCCGCTGCCAGCTGCGAGGAGACAGTACCGAGATGCAGAATGAAAATACCACCCCCTATGCCAGTTGTCCAGTATGCTCAGCCTTCCCCTCCCGGACACAAGCCACCCGCAGGACAAGGAGCAAATGTGTGTTGCCACTCAGCTCTCTGCTGATGAAACCAAGCAGAGAGGATCCTTTCTGGGCCAAAAGCATCCCCAGGGGAAGTTCCAGCCAAGCGTGTGTGCTTCTACCCAGTTGGGAGACAGCGGGAGGGGCTCAGATGCTTTCAGGCCCCGTCTTTCCTCACTCGGGGCC